CAGGAGTGGTAAAGAACTGATTGACACTGGAAAATTTGAGGAAGTATCATGAACTGGAGACTAAGGTAATGGAAGAGGAAGTAGAAGCTGTATTGAAGACAACTGGGAAAAAATAAGGCCCCAGGGATCGATGGGATACCAATTGACCTGTTTCAATTAACAGATTCAGCATTGGATGCACTCACCAGTCTATGCTAGGAGATTTGGAGGGTGGCCATCTGGCCAATGGATTGCAAGAGGTCCATATTTTTTCCTATTCCCAAGAAGTTTGATCCAACTGTATGTAGACCTTATCTAACAATATCTTTGATATCACATGCAAGCAAAATACTGCTGAAAAGCATTCAAAAATGGCTGAAACAATACATAGATAGGGAATTGTCAGAAGTTCAAGAGGGATTTAGAAGAGGTCATGGTACCAGGGACATTATATGGATCCTGGCTGAAAGTAAGGAATACCAGAAGAATGTTTGTGCTTTATTGACTATGCAAAGGTGTTTGATTGGGTGGATTATGACAAGTATATGGCTGATATTGAGAAGAATGAGAATACCAGAGCACTTGATTGTGCTCTTGAGGAACCTATAACTGGATCAGGAGGCTGTTGTGCGTGCAAAGCAGGGGAGCACTGCATGGTTTGGAATTGGGAACGGAGATGTCAAGGATGTATTCTATCTCCATACCTGTTCAATCTATATGCTGAGAAAATTATCCAAGAAGCTGGACTCTGTGAAGAGGAATGTGTCATCAGGATTAGAGGAGACTCATCAATAACTTGCGTTATACAAATGACACAGCCTTGGTTGCTGAAAGTGAGGAGGACTTGAAGCACTTGTTTCAGAAGATCAAGGAATGCAGCCTTCAGTATGTATTTGGTCTTAATATCAAGAAAACAAAGATTCCTACTACTGGACCAGTAGGCTTTATCATGATGGATGGAGAGGATATTGAAACTGTCAACAGCTTCATCTTGCTTGGATCCACAATTAACACCCTTGGTATGAGCAGTCAGGAAATAAGGAGACACATTACACTGGAAATATCTGCCGTTAGGAACCTTTCCAAATTATTAAGGAGTAGTGATGTCAGTTTGAGGACTAAGATATGTCTGATTCAGGTTATAGTCTTTCCAATTAGTAGTTATGCATCTGAGAGCTGGACAGTGAATAAGGATTACAGAAGAAGAATTGACACTTTGAGTTGTGGTGTTAGAGAAGAGCACTGAACATCCCATGGACGGCCAAGAGAATGAATAGATATGTTTTGGAGATGGTGCAGCCAGAGTGCTCTTTGGAGGTAAAAATGATGAGGCTTCACCTCACTTACTTTGGACATCTTGCTAGGAGGTGCTATTTCTTGGAGAAGGACATGATATTGGGAGGGGTGGAGGGCCAGCAAAGTAGGGGAAGATCTTCAACTAGGTGGATTGACACGGTGACTGCTGCAGTGGACTCTTGTGTGTCAGGAAGTGTAAGGGTAGCAGAGGACAAGATTAGGTTCAGGCCTTTTGTTCATAGGGTTGCTATGAATTGTACTTGACTCAATTGCACCTAACAACAAGTCTCTTAGATAACAATAGTTAGCCCTTACTATTTTTGTCAGCCAGCAAGTATGAGAATTTTTTGGGTTTATGTCACTGACTTTTATTTCAACCACAGCATAAAATGGTGATATATAAATCTACTTTTCATATTTATTTGAAATCTGTGTTATGCATTTTGTCAATGCTTGTCAAAGCCATTTTGTTAATGGCTTGCATGGAGTTGATGCAGTAGAAATTGTCTTAGTGTTTCTGTCCTAGTAGAGATCCTAATTCGTTCTGGTTTGTTGTTATATGCTGTCGAATCCAAAACAACTCATTGCTGAGCCTGCAGTGGGTTTTCAGAGGCAGCACAGGAGATTGCTCATCTCTCCTCTGAGGAGCAGTTGATAGATTCGAACTGCTTGCCTTTGTATTGACAGTGCAGCTCCTTACAACTGTGCCACCAGAGTTGCACTGATTCTAATAGGGTAGTCTTATAGTAGAATTTATCATATTTGTTGATTTTCTCCTCTTGTATTAAAAAATAAAAAGTGATAATATTTTGTGACATTTTTATAAATAGAGAGACCAGAGTAGGAAATTAGGTAATATTTTCTAGTGTAGTGGACTACCTAAACTGTGACAAAGCACCTAGACTCTAATTGCTAGGAGTTGCTTAGGACTTGACGGCACTTAACAACAACAACAATCCGTTAGCGTAGTGGACAGAAAGTGATGCTGCCAAGTCAAATGTGGGTGACTCTAATCCACGGCCCTCAGGCCTGTCTTTAATTGTTTTTGGTCAAACATT